TTAGTTGAAATTAAGTTATAAAAGTTATTTATTAATAATTTTTATGAGTGAAATATTGATTAATATACAAATAAAATTTGAACTTAATGACTTGATTAGAAAGTAGGAGTGTTGATTGTGCCATATGCGAGTGTGTTGGCAAGAAAAAAGGTGACTGCTGGGGTTGTCCATTCATGATAGTCAGTAAGAGGAGTAAGTGAGTGATTGGATGAGAGAGAGAAGTTTGTGATGGGGGAGGAATAGTTTTAGTTGCTAACAAGCAGTGCATCATTGTGATTAGTACTGTAACGGACTCGTCTTGCTTCACATTTTTTACATCATCAACTTCACCATCATCATTATCACCTTGGCCATCATTATTGATATTATCACCATTATTGCATCTATTTCAATCTCGCGAACTTTCACGCAATCATTTTTATAACTACTTTCATCATATTATTATGCCATCACCACCTATTTTCTTTTCACACATTCTTCAATTTTTCTGCTTTGTAATTGCAAATTTTTTTAAAATAAAAATAGTCATTTTTATTTTTAATAGACTTTTTGTAACTTGCATCTATCTTAACATTTGCTTGTCTTGTTGAATACGTGGTAAAGCACATAACTATAAAGGTTTGTCTGTGCAGTTGTGTATGTATGTATTTGTTGGGATGGCATGAACAACTAAATGCTTAAGTGATAGTTTTTCCAGCCATGTACAAAACATATTATCTATTTTTTTTAACATTTGAATTCCCTCATTTCTAAATTGCTTTTTCTCATTATTACCATCAGTCAATTTTACAAATAAATTCTACTTATTCACATTATTTTCCTTCTGAAAGTTGTTCATAATATAGGACGATGTTTTCATTTGATTGACTTATGATCACTAATAGTTTATTAAAAGCAAAAAAATGATTACAGCGAAGACTTGTGTTAATTAATTAATTAATTAATTAATTTTGAGTTAATCAATTACGTTAATCTAAAGACTTTATGAGAATACACTGAGTACTTGCAATTGTGAGCAGTGTTTGCATAGACATAGTTTCAATTCAGTTACGTTGAGGAAACTACAAAGGCATTCTCAATTTCCTTATCACAAACATTTCTGCATGAAAACTTTATGTTGTGTAATTTCTGGAAACTAACACACTAACACGTCAAAAGCAAGCTATTTGTGTACACTACTTAAATCTCCAATAACAATGAAAATCTTTTGAATAGATGAATGTAAAAATCTTACTGCATACATTTCGTTATAAGTAAATGAGTATGATTTAATTTTATGTCACTAGTAAAATACACATATATCTAAAAAAATAACACAAGATAATGCAATACTTAAAATTATACAAATAACTGAACATAATTTTATATTTACTTTGTACAAAATTTTTTTTATTTATTTTACCAAAATAATAAGCTTTGTGGAACTAAGTTTTAAAAAGTTTTAATTTTTGTAAAATTGATAAGTAATGAATGCAATTTGTAATTGGCAAAAAATAAATAAATAAATATATTGAATAGAATTTGAGTAAATTATCATCTATTTTGTAGATAAACATGCAGTTTATTTTGTGTTCAGTAGTATTAGATGTGAATGAAGAGAAGTGCGCAAAGTTTTATATTAATTAAAAAAAATCAGTGTAAAAATGAAGTAAAAAATTAATTACTACTAAAAAATGAAGAAGCTATACGATAACTGAAATATAATAGAAAAATAAAGTGAGCTTTTTTCGTATAAATCAAATATTTCAACAAAGTATGCAAAGTAATTAGTTTTGGAAAGAAGAAAGAATGTATTGCTACTGCTACTGCTGCAACTGCTATCTATCTATCTATCTGCCATATTGCCACATCAAACTATCACCAGGCATTTAGTCTTTCTCAGGTGTGTGTGTACACATGAATATGTTGAGGAAATCAACCAATTTGGAAGCACAATTTAAGAAATGCATCCCAAAAATGTTCATTTCGAGGGCAAAGAAAAATATCATTATCGCTGTTTGATATTACTTCTTTTCAAATTGGTAAGAGTATTTTGAAGAAAAAGAAAAAGTAATTCTACGAAAATTAGAAAAAGAAAGAAAGAAGTTTGAAATTTATTTATTTTTTCAATTTACTCAAGTAACAATTAAGTAAGTAGCAATGAAATTGTATACATAATATCCAAAGCAATATTTATAAACTGGTTGACAAAAATTTGTAATAAATAATGATTATTTACAAAAATCAATGCTTTTAAGATCAATTATTTAGTTTTTATTTACTGAAATCAAACTATAATGATATCTTACTGTACAATATTGCAATTTTCACTTAATTTTAAAATTGACTGTAAAAGTGTATTTTGCTCTAATATAATTCCATAGTCATATATCAAGTAATATAATTTATTAGTTCAAATTTGTAGCATAGAAATCTTTATGACATTTATTTGTTAACACAAAGATAGTTAGTTATAATATGCAAATTTAGGCAAAATCAATTTGCAAATGAAACTGAAAACATTTTATCGTACATATTTTTAATCACTAATTGCTTTTTGCTTAATGAATTATAATTAGCAAAAGAGCTGATGGCTTGATTATTAATAATAATAATATTATTATTATTATATTATTTTACTTATTTCAATTAACCTATATAGTGATGATTTAATTTTAAAATCAGTATTTTTGAACAATTCTACCTATCAGAGTATATATATCTTTGCTCATTTTTTTACGATGTTTATGAAAATAACAACACAGCTTTGAATTGACTTCTCGAAAATTTTTACACACGACTTCTTTGCATTTAATACAGTGCAGAATAGTTCAGTGCTGTTTAAAGATTCAGTTAACAGCAAATTATATCTGCCATTCATGAAAAATACTTCAATTCTCGAAATTTTCATTACTGCATTTTTTCAACTTTTTCAGTGGAATTCAGCATTGAAAATCAATTTTTTTTAATGAAGATGATAATTAATAAACCAAAAAGAACTGCTCAAAGTAGTATTTCTAGTAAGCTTTTTAAAAAAATTATAATCAATATTCAAATGTTTGAAACTATATAATTTGCATTACAGTATGCCTTGCCAATGATTTTTTTTGAATTTCTTCCAGATCTTTTCAATAAAAATTAATAAACTAATTAAGCAGTAAGAACACTTCCCTTATAAGCCATTAGATTTGATGAAAAGACAAGCACAAAAAAGTTTTAATTCATTCTATTTTATAAATAAAGCTGACTTTTACAATGATCTATTTTAGAAGCTACTTCAGAAAGTTTTTTCAAAATAAAAATCAGTTTCAGCCTTACTGCACTTCAAAAAAAGTTTTGGGTGAATAGTAAATGCAATTTTTAATTTAAATTACTTTTATAATTTTATTTATGTACGAGCTATTTTTTTATCACTCAAAAATCCAAAAAAAAAACTGCAAAAAATCAGGAAGTTTTTAGTTTTTCCCTCTCTAACAATTTAATCTGGCTTAACAGTTTTTTTTATTTGATTGAATGTATTTGTTTTAAGTAGGCATTCTGTATTTTTGTTAACTTCCAATTGAAAAACATTAGCTTTGGTTTTTTTCACTTAGCTAACATTCATTGCACTTCACCTTGAAGCAATGCATTATTCACTTTCTGTCTTACAGGAGCTATGAAATAAACCATTTATGATTTTATAAGGCTTAAAAAAAAATTTCATGCTTAATAATTTTAAAGAAATAAAACGAAGCATTGATTTGAAATAGAAGTTAGCAAAGTTAATTAAAAAATTAGTAGGAACTACAAGTCGTAAATTTTTGATCATTATCAAACTACGTTTAATTTTGTACTTTATAGAGACATCTTTTTCTGAAAAATAGAAATAGCTTAATGAAAATACAAAATGTAATTCAAACAATATAATTTAATTTTTCAATAAGTTTACAAATATTGCATGGCTAAAAATGTTCCTAAAATAAAACACAGATATTGAATATTATGCTGGAAGCTTTAAAATATATTAATCCCGTGAATAGTGATTAGTTAGCGGGATAAAAGTAATTATATTCAAACGCAACAGTTACTAGATCAAATTATGATAGAAATAGTACTCAGATAATCATTTTGCTGAGATACTGGATAATATGAAAGAGAATATTGTAAATTTGATAAAGAAAAGTTAAAGCTTAAAAATATTTTAATAAAATTTTGTTAGGGCGGAACACAAATTTTTCTTGTCAAATATTTGCCCAAATGATAAATGATAGTTGAGGATGAAAATAGCAAATATACTTCAGAGTCATTTTTGAACACACCATCACATGTTGATTGTTTTGTTGCTTTTGCTAGTATTTCTCTTCATTCAACAAAGTATTTAATCTTCTCGTAATTTCTTGACGTTTGATTCAATTTAGGAGATCCTTTTAAACTAGTTTTCAATGACTTACCTAAAATCATGCTAATTTTTCAACTTATTCATTGATAGTTAGGTAGGCAAATAGATAGGCAACAATATGTACTGAAACTATTAAAAAAATTGACATTTAACTTTTTAAAATTGCAATTACATATATTTTTGAAATAGTTTAATAATTAATACTTGAATTATTTCGTATTTGAAGAGATTAAAAACGCATTTTATATAAGCTGATCCAAATAAAAATTAATAAATATCAAAGCAAAATTAGTTTCACTGAGGTTGGGTAAAATTAAATGACAAAGAAAATTGGTGGCTGTTTATTTTATACTAATTTTTTTGCATAAACATGTAATGTAACATTGAAAAATTTTGTCATCACCTAAGTTAATTCAATTAAATTTTTTTTTCAAAAACTAACTTTTGATTTTCATAGTAAAAATAGTTGTTTTGCAATTTGTTATCACATACGTAGTTCATAAATATTATAACAGCTTTGATCTAGATTCAGCGTGATAAGCATGAAAACTAATTATAAACTACTGAATATCAGCGCTAAATTTCAAAATTTTGATAAAGATTTATCTAGACTGTATTTTTGATACTATTTAGATTTGGTGTGATGTCTATGCCAAGGATGTGTTCATTACCATCTAGCAGTGGTAGTGCCAACAGTACTAGTGTTAGTACCGGAGACAAAGAAAAGCAGCGTTTTGCGGTTGCATCAGCAACAATGGCATTTCCCGGACTGCCATTTATGGCTGCAGCATTTCCCGCAATTACTCCTACTACTACCGGTAGTTCTGTCTTTCCTAATCATATGGCTGCTCAACTGTCACTGTTTAATCCGCATTTGCAACAGTACTACGCAAATTTTTTACATCAACAACAAATTCTGCAGAGTTTACAAAACCATTCTCCACAATCCCGAGCAGGTCCATTTTTCTCTGCATTAATACTTTCAAAGATTGTCTACAAATAAACTTCCGTACGCTAAAATATACGTACATATCGTATGATTATATTCAAACGACTATTAAATATGGAAATCAAAAGTGAACAACTCTTACTCATATGAAATGTGGTAATTATCACTGCAAATTTTATTTTTATAATTACTAATAAGATGTCATCGTTTACTGCAATAACAAGCAAATTAAAAAGGCAAAAAATTATGTATTAATGCTAAAAAGGCGAATAAATTGGTATTGTGCCAAAGCGTAGTCGGCAAGATACAACATTTTCATCAACAACGTCTTTTCACGCTTAACGTGTTTTGATGAGAAATTCTCACTGTAGATAACTAATCATTTTTGTGATCAAAACAAAGTTATAATTCTTGAAGGAAAATGCCTTAAAATTTATTCTAGTCCTGGATTTTTTCTCAATTTAAACGATTGCAATGATGCAAAATTAATGTAACATGACTTGTTTTGTAAAAGTAATCAACAAAATGAAATTCATGCGCAAATTACCTATTCATAAAATACACTGCTCATAATATAGTAATAATGAGCAATCAATTAATTCACTTGTAGTTAAGGATCGTTATAAAATTATTAGTGTTAAATGACAAATTTAACTAAAGATAGATTAATAAAAAGTAGAATGGTTACGGTACTAGTAAAAAGGATGAAGTTGTTGATAGTTCTTGTAATTATATCTGGTAAATAATCAAAGAGATGCTGGAAAGAACACGCGATGAATTGTGAAATTATTCTTACAACCATTAATAAATACGGTATTCAATAACCTTTGACCTTGAAAAGATAACAATGTTCAGTGATAAAGTTGCATATTAATTGTGATTGATTAATGAGTTGAACATTTTATCATGAACGTTTGCTCAACGTTAAACAATAGAAAAATTGTAGTGAAAGTATTTTGAGAAATCAAGTAAGAAATGAGAAGAAAAATTAGGTAAAAAATCATAATGTTTAGACTGTAAAGGTTATTTTCTATGTACTACTTTTACTTATTTCATTTTTTTTTTCGGTGTAAAGGTAAATTTATTCAGAATAAATTCAATGAAAAAATAAATGGTACGTTTTCTAGCAAGGTTTTTTCTTTTACTACCCTTGTTTGCTCTGAACTGGAAAAAATTAGCTTTATTAAAATTTTGAGCACATTTTACTTAACAATTATCCTTATTTACTGAATCGTTTTTGTGACAAAATCCTTACTAACGTAAGCTTACTTTGCGAACAAGTAGTAAGCAATTAATTACTTGATGGACTGAAAAAAAAATTGTCAAGTACTGTTAGATTAGATCTTTTCTAGCTTCAAAAACAAGAGAAAACAACTTTAAAGACTGCTTAATATGCTAATCGCACAGACACTTTCTGTGGTGCAAAAAAGAACCAAAAAAATACATAATAAATAACTGTATAGCAAAAAGTTACCTCATTTGCATACTTTACCTTACTGACTGACATGCATTAATTGCACTACGAAAGTAGCACTTCATGCTAATTTAACTTGTTGGAAAGCTAAAGTTAAATACTTATAATACTTCAATCTAAAAAGTAATTGTTTATACTGAAAATGAAGAGAGTATAAAACAAATAAGAGTAAATAAGTAAATGATGAAAAAATTTTATCTCATCAATTTATTTCTTTTTTATGCGTCTAGAAAAAGTATTATATTATAAAATTTATGAAAACGTTTGAGTTATTTCAGACTTGTCACCTGTAGCATCTGATGGACACACATCTTCTCACCTGAATTCACCAATCAGAAGTAAGACTTTACTGCTTACAGTCTTTTTTTAAACTCCCCAAAGCCACTGAGTTCAAGATGATACTTATTTGTAATTCACTAAATTATTTTCTATCGTACCACAAAATTCCTTTCATTTTGTTATCGTTATCGCAAGAAACGCTTTCATTATATATTTCATGACTGTTAAATTATTTTTTAATGTTCTAATTAAAGGAGAGATAAATTAGATAAGAAATCGCTACAAATATTATTTTTATCTAAAAAATACTAAAATTTTTTATTGTATTGAATAAATTATAGACAAAATGAAAATCAAATCGTGTTTTCACGTAAGAATTAATTACAAAAATTTTGCTAAATAAATGTACTTCCGTCATTTTCAGTTACTTATCTTAAAATTGTTGTTGCAAATTATCATAACTTCATCAATTCTTAGCTATGCTCTTGCTCGTTTCACATTAATTTTGAAGAGAATTAAATTAAAAAACTCATACAATATTTTGTAAGTTTTAGTCATAAAATTATTCAATTATATAACTCATTTTATTAGGAAGAATTAAAGAGTATTTGTTGGATAGAAGTATGAAAATGTGTGATCAAAAATTTTCGATGATCTTTTCCTTTATTTATTATAAAGAGTATTTTTCTTCTCTCCGTAAATGACTATATTTGGGCAAGTGATTTTTTAAGGGTTATTTTCTCATATCGCAATTAATTTTATGGAATATTTTTGTCTGTTCTCTTGCTCTTAACACTGTTTGAAAGATTGCTTTGCCTTTCAAACTAATTTCTGTAAATCATTTACCATCAATGGCCTCATATCTGAGCATAAGCTTGAAGCTATTATACCATTGAATTCAGATCGCAACAAGGCTCTAACTTTCATTTGCTATTGCTGGGAATAAAGGTTCAGTAATAATAAAATTTATTTTTTACGGCTGTGAAAATCTTTTGAAATGTAAAGACATGCTAACGAATATTAAAGTATTGCGTAAACTTGCAATAAGTAAATAACAATATATGCCACACCAACTAAAAAAAGTATAGCATCAAAATATAAATGAGAAAACCTTACAAATATTATTTACTTTTCGTAATTTAACTTTATTGAACATTTACATTGCATTTAATTAAAAGTGAAATTTTATTTTGAAGCAAATAAATAGTAGATTAAGTGTAGAAATATCAGGGTAATAAATATAAATGATTTTGTTATTAATGAGGATATTATTAATTATTATATTTACATGACAAGTATTTTCAATTACTTGTTAATATATGAATTGAAATGATAACTTTAAGATTATGCTAGGGATACTGCTCGATTACTGTAATGAGATTTTTTATGAGTTTTTTAGTTCTTCGAAAATTTTTGGTCTAAGCTCAAATTCACTTCATTTCACATGATTACTGAATTGAGTATCAATGCTATCAATGTCTTTGACAAAAATTTTATTTTATTTGCGTTGGCTATACAATTCACATGAGAAGTACAACAGTTTCCCGCTGGGTTTAGGGAGAATTGTAATTTAGTCCTCATTGAATCGATCTAATAACTAGTTGATTGATCAGTATTGATTGATCGGCAGAATAATTGACAAGTTATATAAGTACCCGCAATTTAACATTAATGATAATCAATTTTGTAACAATTGTTTTTACAGAAATTGCTCAATTTGAGTTAATAAAATGCTTTTTATACACAAGCATTTCTATTCTAAGAAAGAGACGATTTAAATATTACAAAAATAAGAAAATGCAAAGTAAAAGAGTTATCAGTGATTACATTATATTTCTATAATTAATTTATTATGCGTTTTATCAGAATTTTCTCACTGATTTTTAGATTATGTTTTTTTTAATTTTTTTTTGCTGAGTTGTAAACAGCGAATTTAAGGGCCAAAACTAAAATCTGTCAATATATTTTTAAGAAATGAATATTGGACTGAAAATTTTTTTAAGACTATCAAAGTTATAATTGTATTTTCAAATAAATAGTATGAAATGTTTCCAATCAAATTATCAAACAAACAAAAATAGCAATTTATTAATTTTTTTTGTCAAATACTGACGAACGTATATCATTTATGATTTTTCTCATTGTACGAGTAAATATATGCAAATGTGAAAAGAGTCGAATTCACTTTAGTTATCTTCAAATGAATTAGATGAAATAATAGATAGTCGTGAGTGTTTTGCAGAATAATCGTGAGAACTGATCAAAATTTTTCAATTTTTTACAATCATGAAATGATTGATAATAGATGAGTACGGCAGGGTGCTCATGTTGCATTTGTTAATTTTCACTCTACCTGTGTTGTGGGAATTATATCACTTTGAATAAATTACTGCTCTCTTTCTTTAAAATGATGATAAATACGTGAGGTCATAGCGCACAAATGTCAACGGTATATTAAACGCAAAATATGATTAAAAGCTGATTGAAAGGCATATATTGGTGTTGTGAAGTAATCAAATTTCAATCTGTTATAGCCACTAAATAGACAAATAGATAAGAGCAACTAAAATATGCTAGCAATGTTATTTTTACAATGAAAATGAATAAGTTTTGCATGTAAAATTATTGCAATTACAATGTGAACTGTTTTGCTCACTTTTGTTTGTTCAACAATGATTTTGCAAGTTTAATTATATTTTTATTGGCTTAGTAACTACAGCTGAAGAAAAAAAGCACATTTTGGCAAGAATTATTTGAATATAAGCAAAGGAAAATAGTAGTATTGTGTATTTGCCGTAATAAATGACTATCATTTGTCGCTTTTTGCCTAAATTATGGCGTTTGTCCCATCAAATGAAAGATTAGTAAAAAGGCGAAGATGAAATAAGACAAGTTAGAAAAGCTTCTCAGTTATGCTTACTGTATAGCAAACAGACTACTATACCGTATACTAATGTTGGCAAACAGTTACACAAATTATACCAAAATTAAAAATAAATTAGCATAAAAAGATAAGTAAATTAATTACTATATTGTGTACTATCATTTTGAAGGCATTTAGAAAATAGCTAAGAAGAAAGCTGAAAACTTTGTACACTTTTTTGGACCTTGCTTACATTTAGCTGCAAATTTTGTACAAATTAAAAATGATATAATGGATGCAAAACTTTGAGATTTGCATTATTTTTTACTCCTTCTTGAAGCAATTGAAAACATAGCATACATTTGCATTCAGTTTGATCAGTTAAATTGTCTAAAATTTGTTTCATTAAGAAGTGAGAAAATGCTCACAAATTTCTTT